GTCTGCCGGGGAGGTAAGATTCATGAACTAAATTAAACAGACCAAACCCAGTAGAATTACTAAAAAATTCTAGTTCCCTAACACTAACTCACAACTACTACCATCACAATAAATATTTGTCTACTGCAATTCTAGCTTACATTTCAATTTACTGCAAAGTGTTTCCAAAGTATTCTTAAATCCTACACTGCAAAAGCAGATCAAGAGGCAGCTCTAAGTTCTGCAGGCTATTTCTTCATAATATCTAGAACAAATTTGAAGAGGAGGAAGAGATCCATGTTCAATGTGTGTAGTGCTAGCCAACATCTGTCATCAGCTGCTTAAAACCCTTCTATTGCTCGTGGTTATGCATGCTCCAACAGTCACATGTATTAGTCAATCTGAAGCAAATGTGCTATCTAATGTGTATTGCAGAAAAACCTGTAAAAAAAGAGGTAAAATTTTCTGCTGTACAGAGTATTTACAAAAACATATAACCTCAAAGAACCAGTTTGTTTCCCTGGCCAAAGTATTAAAAACTAAACAGGGAAAACTTGGTAGTTTATACATTAGGAATGTTTTCATGTACAATTAAGAAAACACTTCACTGTAAAAAGGTGCAATACTGTGTTACTAGAATAGAACAGTGTCACACAACGAACTGGAGAATGAGCAAGTGTGGCACATTCACTCAAACTCAGGCTCTCAGGTGAAGACAAACACCTACAGACTGATGCAGTTATTCTACATACTTTGGTGGATTTTAAGAAATGTACACGTCTAGTCTGTGGTCTTGGTAGTACAATTATACAACTTACTTGTATCTATCAACTATGTCTCTATCTCTCTTCATTAATGAACCAGCATATTAATTGCTATAAACCTGAATAACATTAGCTGCTTAAAAGTTACTTGTGCTTCAGTTTAAGTCAAAAAGGGATATCTAAACTTATCTCCAAGGCAACTGGGAAAGCCTACCAGAATTTTAGTGTTTGTTTTTTCACAAGGTTCTCGGCAATAAAGAATTAATAGCTACAGAAATCTGGGCTATGCCTTAGATCTTCATCCCCTTTCTCTACCTATAGCAATATGCTGCCTGTGTATCAGCTAATCACTGCTACTGAAGTGGTTTTGTCAGTTACTGTTCTTCAGATTTCTGCATAAGAAATTTTAATGTCCATTTTTAATTAAAATCTTGACATTATAAAAAGTTGGTATCAAACAAACTCACTGAAGGCTAAAGGTTAGGTAACCTTGAACAGGCTGCTGGTTTAGAATGTCAAACTAGAAAAATAATAGATATAAAAGATTAGGAATTACAGTGCTAGTTATATTTACATAATCATTTCCCTTTGTGCTTGCAAGTTACTGAAAGTACACATCCTTTGGTAGTATTCTCTTGGTCTCAAGTACAAGGCTCTTGTTAAACACAATCACACTCCTGATTTGCTTAAGTCAGTGCAAAGGGCTCATATTCCCTACATAATTTTGTTAGATAAACACATCTCTTCCCCATAAATAATAAACATACTGATGACTGACTTCCCAATGAATAGCTTTGTGCCTGATATTTAAGAATCTGAAAGAGAGACAGAGTCTGTCACATAACTTCTAAGTCTAAAGAGTGACTACTATAGCAATTGACAATAACTCCCACCCACAAGTACTACTGCTGTATGACTTTTGGCCCAGTTTTGAAGACATCCAGGAAAAACAAAATGCATCTATAATTTGGACTCATATACCCATAAAGAAGCATTGCAATGTTTACTAAATTCAATTACAAAAACCACCACCACATCAAACACTGAAGTGATGCCTCTCGTTTTAACCTTACATGTAAGCACAGCTTTCATTCATGGCTAACATAAGAGAATGTCTGCTCTTACAAAGCTGTTCCAAAATGTCATGTCAATGCTGCAAGACTACTCTTTAAAAATAAAAAAAAAATGGAAAAAGAAGTACTTGCAGTTTTACCTATCTATGCCAAGTGGCAGTGAAAAAGAAGATTCTGGGAGAGAGGTTTTATTTGTTCCCACACTGTGCATCCTTAAGAAGCCACACCTTGGTCAGTGGCAAAACAACCAATCAATGCTTGTTTGATTGGTGAAGGTGTGAAGATCTCACGAGGCTGTAAGCAACCAGGTAAGTCAAAAAGGAACTTTCCAAACTATCTGAAGTTGACTCAAAATAATTACAACTGTTGTCTATTCACTGTTACTGTCAAATGTGAGTGAAATAGGAATTTACAGGCTTGAGGTTTAAGAAAGTAATGTACAGCATATTAAGGAGTGTAATGTACCAATATAAGGATAAATCCTCAGTATTTTATTTTTTATACTGGCCAATTTAATATCAATCTGTTGACAAAGTTATGCTAATACTAGGAGGTCGCTGCTGATTAGGCTGTTTGCTTAAAATCGGAAGATCTGTTCTTTCTGCTCCATATATCAGTTTTTCCTCCTGAAGACTGCAAGCTGAAAACCTGTTTGCCTCTGTACCAGAGACACCTCCACGATTATTTGGAACTGTGACACCACTGACCTGCTCAAAGGATTTACTAAACAGAGTGGTGGTCGTTCTGGCCAGACTGTGGCTGCCAGGCTTAGGCAGGGACTGGCTAGTTGTTAGTGTCAGTCTCTTCAGTGAGACAAGCTCTAGATTCTCACTCATGGCTCTCTGAGTTTGTTTTCGTGATAAATGTTCTCTGCAGGTTTCTCCTTCTTTTTCTTTTCCTCCAGCTTTGCTTCCTCCAGACCTTCGTTGGCTCTTCCCTAAAAGGTTCTTGCTGCTTGTGCTGCTGCTGTTAGATAAGGCAGACTGACTTGTACTAGAAGCAGCCCTAGAGTAAAACCCTTCATCAGTTTCAGACACTTCTATCAGTTCTTCTTGAATTCCTAAATCAGAATTACCTGTGTGGTAAAAACAGAAATACAGAATTATCAATTGACTTTCTCACACTTATTGATTTTATGCATTGCTCGATTTTGGTATTTACAAGCATGAAGCCAAACAGCAATAGAACAGAGAACAGAAAATTAAATACTTACCTATTCCACGACATTTTGGAATTAAGGTTCATTAGGATACAGAGTTACAGCAAATAATGCTGCATTAACTAGATCACAGAGCATGCCCCCAATCTCATTTTGCAGTGATTTGAGAAAAATAAAAAAATGCAGTCTTGTTAATTCATGCAGGAGATTAGAAACTTAGAGATTAGAAGGTACCACACAGAGCAAAAAAAAAAAAAAAAAAAGTGTAAATCTAATTTAGAGCGAATGATCCAATACATGATTTTGCAAAGCTTGTTAATTACAGAGGTATGTGATCAATGCCCCAGGACACCCAGTATGGCACCTGCATGTTTAGCAACCCAAGAATGCTTTAGGACTGAAAGGTCACTTTCTGCATCACAGGTCTGGTGGTATGACTTGGAAACTCAAGCACAACATGAGATCTCCAGTACACCATGAAAGGTGGAATTTGGGAAGTCTGAGGTACATGGCAAGATACTTTTCACATCCACTTTGATGGATTTTTTTATACCATTGATCACTGGATTTTGTAAACTCAATAAATGTGTTTGATAAAGTCAAAGGTGTGTTGTGTCTCAGTGTATTTTCTCCAGACTAAAGAAGAATCTACTTGTAAGTATGTCATCATTGTCTGTGGCACAGACAAAGCTGTGTGCAATACATGCAATTGTGTTATTACACATGCAAATATATTAACTGCATACTTTTATTCTTGAAACATGCAGCAGTGACCCTTTCAATCAACAGTGGTACCTTAGAGTGCAGCTACAAGTGCTCTGCTAAAACTGCACTCTGCCGGATGAGTTTATTCCATCCTCCATCATTTTTCTTACAGATTTTTGCCTCCTGATTTCTGGCATGCCTTTGCTGTCAGTTCTAGGATCTGTAGCTGTTTCCTGTACTCCCTGTAAATGCTGAACATCATTCTCTGCTAGTGCTCTGCTTTTTTCCCCATTCCCGGTCCTCTCTCCAGCCACACTTGTGACACTAATCTCAGGTATGATAAAGTTGCCCAATTCAGTAGCATCATTACCATTCTCTGGTTGTTCTAGAATTAAAGATGGATAAGAAAAAACACAAACAAAAGATGTCTGAAACAAAACATAAACAAAAGCCAATAGATACAGATGATTTAAGCATTATAAATTAAAGCAGATGTACACATTAACCTCTTGTTAATTAGCAACATTAGCGAATGTGGAATTTTGCTTTATTTCTGAAATTGCAGTCTTCAATCTTCCAGTCACTGGCCTGCACCACACTGGGAGAGGCCCATACTTCCTCTTCCAAAATACGAATTTCTGAGGGTCATGAAATATTATCAGAAATCAAAGAACAGACCATAATTCACTTTTGTGACCATATTCTCTGTATCAACATGCTAAAGTGAAACTTATTTTTCACAATGAAATGGCATATCAACTTCACATGTTATCATGCAAGACTAGAAAATCTACATGTCCAATGTCATGATGCTGCACAGTGGTCAGCCTGAAAACTAACAGGGAAACTATTAAGCCAACTTAATCCCACTTTGACTTCCATTTTCTTTATTCATTTCAAAAAACTATTTTCAACCAGAAAGATATTTCTGTATACCCCAGAAAAACCAAGTGAAGAAGAGTGAGAACTAAACTAGATGCTACACAGTTATATATTCCGTATGTGTTAAATATGTATACTATATGCACACACTATGGCCACAAACTTGACAAGACTAAAAATGCACTAAAAGCACAGCTCAGAATAAAGCTCAACTGAATCCTTGTGTTTTATTCATAATGCAGCTCTTTCAGACCTGAGGATTGAGTTAGGACCACCCAGACTACACTGCCAGTTTGTTACTGTACATGACAAAAGCTGGCAGTGATTTAACTGACAGTATGGAGTCCAAAAGCTGAGGAATTTACAATGAGATGATTTTACACAGCAGCAGCTCTACTGCTCATTAACTGAGGGGATCTTCTCTTCCTCCTGTCCCCACACCAGAGACTCTTGTGCAGGCACAGTGTACTTCCAGGTCAAGTGAGCTCCGGCACTGGGATTTTGGCTAGCATCTATGCTGCCTGCACAGATCACAACAGAGCCAGAAGGTCATTCTGGCAGGGATGCACATCACAGTCCTCTGGTATAAGAGCTAGCCCAGATTTAGCATGAAAATTCTAAGTACCATGATTCTTTCTGTCTAGTCAACCACTAATGAAAGTATTGAGATTTAACAAGCTGCACTAGCCAAAGGAAGTGGCATTAATAACTGCTGCTCTTAGCCACTGAATTCCTGGTATTTGGCAGGAAACTCAAGTTAGAACTGTTTACTCCTAATAGCACTTTCTGCAAAAGTCTTCTATCATCAGTAACGAACGTAACAACCAAGTAGCGTGAGCAGCAATAGTAATACTAATAAATAAACAATAATTATAACAACACCACAATTAAATATAGCCCTTTTTTTCCTAAAAACATAGGATCAGATGTGAGGAGAAATGATCAGTGTTCTGATTGGCCTCATTGCTCTAATTTCACTAGGGTGAGGAACCTGTGCCTCTCTTTAAGGCAAACCTCAAACTCCTTCCTGCCACCCCAGAGAGAGGAGAGGACTGAACAGAGCTTTACTGTCACTCCCTTCCCCACCAAGGACAGGAAAGCACCAACTATCCAACTCCAAAGAAAGAAGACTCAGTGTACACAGCAGAAACCAGAAAAAAAGAGGCTGAATATTTTTTTGTTCAAGGCTTTGTATAAAAGCAATACCCAGTTACTGTTATTTGGTGGTGTAACATTCTAAGTGTAACATCCTGCTGTGATGTATCAGCACTTTGTACCATTCATTGCTGCACTCCCACAGCTGTGTAACCATTACCACAATGAACTGCAGAAAATAAAATCAATCAAAAATCTTCGGAGTCTTGCTCATTATAATTATGTCTAATTTCTTAGTTAAGTGCTACTACTGACTCCTAATGAAAGGAAAAACACCTTTCTCTGAGTTTAACTGAACTAATGAAAAAGTGGGACACTGGATATCTCACCTCCCGTTAACACTGCCGCAGGGCAGGGAGAAGACTACACAATCCATGTCCTCATAGTAGCATAACCTCCTTATTTTAAAACTTTGAAGTAGAACACCTAAACCAAACCTTCAGCTTCACAGTCTTGGTTTTGAGATAATACTGCTTCAAGCTGGATGACTCTAGGGGTCTGTCCTTTGAGAAAGAAATATTAATGCCAAGTGCACAAGGCAATGTAGCAGAAAACAGAGGACACTGATAAATAAGAGACAAAATTGAATAATTATACCAGTTTGAACATTAATATCAATATAACAATAGCAGTTGAAGGAAAATGCATTTGGAGTCACGTTTCTGAATGCTTTGAGTATTAGAACCAACCTTGATTAATGCACTTCATGATTACTAACTGCTAAGAATTAATTCAAAAGGTATTTTGATCATAGTCTACCTTATTATGGCTGCCTAGATCATTTACCTCAGATTGCACAAGTAAACTGCCCATTTGGATTGCAATTCAAAATTTAATGACCACAAGCTCAAGCTGCATGTCTTGCACATTTTGAATTATTCACAAAACCATCAAGCTTATATCCCAAAATTAACATTCATTCCGGAGTCTTATCAGTTATGACTATTTCAGAAATTAATACTGTTTCAAAAAAAAAAAGTCAGAAATTTATCTCCACAGAGATAAATAGACTAGTGTTTTTAAACCTAAATGAAAGTCAATTTCTGCAATGGGGAAAAAAAAAGTAACCTCTTGTCCTTCTCCTCTAGTTGTCTTTGTTTCTGTTATGTCTCTTACCAACATTGGCTTAGCTTTTCTTAGTCTGTCACCCTTCTAAATGGCACTTTGGAAGATGTTACTTAATAAAGAAAGCACTGATAGGCCTTGCTTGGATTTTTTCCCTAGCTTCCATAAACAAAAATTCATTTAAGTATTTACGTCCCTCACACACTATGTTTTTTCTGAGTTTTCTCTGTATCTGAATGAAACTGGAAATGCCACTCAAGGCTTGAATTTAACCAAACTACAGCAAACTAATTCTAGATCAAAGAGCTAATGCTCCTCTTTTTAAAGTTCTATAATTTATAAGCAATCCAATCACACTAAATAATTTGTTGCTATGTGGTGACTAATATCAACTCACTCTATAAACACTACCTGCTTGTGATTAGATGGAACCATTTTGCAAATCACTTTCACATTTAATGTATCTAAAGTACCTATCTTAGAAGTCCAAATCCACAATACTAATTTAATTTTACAAGTGCTTCTGAGTAACTGCTCTTAATGAACAACTTACAGGGTTGAATATCACAAGAAGATTCAATGTCAAGACAACCTTTATTCAAAACTGACTTCAATCTAGAGTTCTAGCAAAGGTTAGCAAGATCTAATATCTGTAAACTTCTAAATAAACTGAATATTTTATAAGTTAAAGTGATTATGCACATGCTTCTCAGCTGGAAAAGCAATTCACTCTAATTCATCTATTTTCTTTATTTTACACAAACAGACAGTGATTGAAAATTGCTGCCCTTGCATCCCCAAGAGATACTTGGATTCATCAGGTCTTCTGGTCCACATAATGTATAAGATCGACCTCCCTCTCAGCTGTCTTCTCTGGCTTTCTAATCCATTTATACTCATTTTTATTATCCTGAAAATAAAAATAAATGACCCAAATAAAGTCCTTCCCTTACTCCATAAGAGAGAGAACAATGGTCAGGAGGTACAAGGTTTGCCATCTAATTTCTACCAATTCCAGTATTTATTTCAATTCAAAGAGGCATCTGTGAGCACAAGCCTTGTTATTCCTTCTGCATGCTGACCCTGAAGATGTATTTCATGTCTTTCTTTCATCAGGAATTGTGGGGCCCCGAATGAAGTTACTAAGAATTTTGGAAACTGGAGACCATTCACTGACTTTAAATAGGTTTTTCAAGTCACAAACAACAGTTTGGTTAGCATTTTATAATGAAAATTTTGAGGAGATCAGCTGAAGTGATTTATGCAGGGAACATTTATCAGTTAAAACAACACAATCAACAGTCAGTCAGTTAGATACCATAGATTCAGTTTTGGACTTTAGACTAGCCCAATGTTTACAACAGCCTTTCAATTTACAACTACTCCCACAACCTGCTACACATGTTCCCCTCCACTCCCACCCTGCACCAAGTGATTTTCTTCCTCTTCATTAAACCTGTACTATCGAGACAAATCCAAAGTTTTCCTAATAACCCAAAGAAAATGCTGACATGAGCTTCTTTGCAGAAGTCCTTAATATTTCAATCTTCATCCCTAAACACTGACTGCTCTTCTCTTGGATCATACTAACTAGATTATCACTGTTTCTCTCAACTTGTCCTACTTTATAAGACTCTCATAAAACACAGAACTCTATGCCGTTTCTGAGTTCAACTATTATTCTCATGACCGTTTCAGCTTACTGTTATCTTCTGCAGGGCACACTTGTACCACACATTTTTCCTTGAACTTCACTCACTCTCTGCATGGAGGCAATAAATGCAAAAACTTCTCAATTTCTGTATTTGCTGAAATTTTTGCATTTTTATAAGGATGGTTCCAATACTGATTCATACCATTTTTGTTCCTTTTTTTTCCCTTGTAAATGCAAAGACAATGTTTATTTTAATAACCTTCATCTGGATGAAGTAGCACTCGATATCCCCAATCTGTGTTCCCCTCCACCACCTCATTTGAACAAACATCAGAACCACTCAAAAATAATAATAGCTAACATAATTGCCAAGCTTCAGAGGGCATTTGTCCATTTAAAAGCTGAGCTATCATACAGTTTTCTTGCATCTGGTCAATAATCCATGCTTAATAACTGTAAGGCTGAAGAAAGAAAAATAAATAGTAACGATTAAAATGGTCCTTAGCAGCCTTGAGATTTCAGTAATGACTTGCTATTGGATCTTGTTTGAGTTAAAGGCACTAATGTTTTGGTCCTCAGCTTTGTCTGGCAGTATCATGCAGTTTCTAATCAATTGAAAAGAAATTCGGTTATTTTACCTTTCTTTGCCCCTCACCCCCTTTGGCAGCTTAATATTGGTACTAATAGCACCAATATGTACCATTAGCGCTCCGTAAGTTCAATCATTATTTTAAAGCCATCTTCTCCCAGTATACTTATACATAATTTTCTCAACGCTTACCTGAATTACTTCTTGATCATTTATGACAAGTAGGTTAGCAAAATTTTTCTAGCTGAACTGTCCATATACGACAAAAGCTCACATAGTACACAAAGAGAAATTTTAATGGTACTAAAAAATCTTTATTGCACCCCCTAGAAAAGCACTCACACGCTTAGCCTATCACCAGAATTACAATCCAAACAGCACAAGGTGCTGCCAATTTTCATCACTGGTCAGCAGCTCTTCCCTCATCTGAAGATGGCAGAAGTGGTGAAACCTAACGTTTAGACTCTCAGAATCTCTTGTTGGCATCTCTGCTTTTGCTCTACATTCAGCACCCCGTCCTCTACCTCTCAGCCCAGACCTGTGTTCTACTTGGAGAACTCCTTATATTAGCTTGCTCAAATGTGCTGAGACAACAGTAATTTTCTTGACAGCATCTGGTATGGGGCTGTGTTTTGGATTTGTGCTGGAAACAGTCTTGATAACCCAGGGATGTTTTTATTATTGATGAGCAGTCCTTACAGAGTCAAAGCTTTTTCTGCTTCTCACACCACCCCACCAGCAAGCAGGCTAGGGGTGCACAAGAAGCTGGGACGGGACACAGCTGGGACAGCTGACCCAAGGGATATTCCATACCATATGGCATGAAGCTCAGTGTATAAAGCTGGGGGAGGAAGAAGGAAGAGGGGGCACATTTAACATGATGGTGTTTGTCTTCTCAAGTAACAGTTACACACCATGGAGCTCTGCTTTCTTGGGGATGGCTGAACACTTGCCTGCCCATGGGAAGTAGTGAGTGAATTCCTGTGTTGCTTTGTTTGCATATGCACCTTTTGCTTTATCTAATTAAGTGTCTTTATCTCAATCTATGAGTTTTCTCACCTTCATTCTTCAATTCTCTCCCCCATACTACTGTGGGGGAGTGAGTCAGTGGCTGTGTAGGGCTTAGCTGCTGACTGGGGTTAAACCACAACACCAAAATGTAATAATTTCTCCCTCTACCCTTAAATCCAATTTTTATTTAACACAGATGAGGTTCTGTGGTAAAGTTGTTAAGTATTTACTTTGCTTCAGGTACTAGAAACTACTTTTCAGAAGAAAACAAGAACATCAGTCTCTTTAAAGAAGCAATAACTATGTACACCTCCCTTTAACAAAAAAGTTTTGTGTTGTGGTTTTTTAAAAACATGATTAAGGAAATAAAGAATATACTTCATCTGAACTGCATTAAGATTCCCATTCACCAGTCAAGAAAATAATAACCTCTGAACTCCTGCTAGCCTATAATCAACAAAGATCTGAAATAACAAAATTCTCAGTATTACTTTAAACACACAAAAAGTTGAGAATTCATTACCAAAGTTGTTTCTTACCATGCCTTTTCCATCTATGCCCTCGTATAGACATGCTAGTCACAGCATTTCTCGATATTCTGGATGAAGTAGGTGTAATTTCAACCTGAATGCATCTTGTACCTTCTTTACTAGATTTCATGGCACCCTGAGGCAGTGAAGCTTTTATTGCATTAGCAACCTAGAACAGAAGAGATACAGTTAAGTTCTTAACACAAAGATCCAAATTCTCAAAGAATTCTGTTGGGGATTCTTACAGCTTCAAGAACACAGTGTACCAATTCCAAGTAAAGGTCTAAAAGCACAGTAGCTTTTTTTGCATATCATAAAGAATACTCATTGCAATTAGCTCTCAGAACTAATACTTGCCACTTTTTAAAAGTAAAGTTTGCAGTTTAAAGATGTGGCTATTACTTCAGAGTTCTTCTGCATTATTATCTAAGTTTTCGAGACTTAGAGGTGTCCTACTGAAAACAATTTGCTCACTGGGAAACATGACACAATAAGTAAGTACACTGAAAATACCTCTGTGTGTGTCTGTACTTACAGACTGAGCTATTAACACAAGCACAGACGCATAGATTCAGCTTCCTGGTGGGACGTCACATCCCAGACTAAAAATTCTACTCAAACAAATGTTGGAATCCAATACCTACCAGCAGTGGTTCTGGATACAGCTCCAGCTGTGCTCTGTACAAAATGTCATCCATAGCTTTACGAGCCAGATCCCATTCTCCGTTATAACTGCAAAGGTAAATATATACAGAATAATAAGCAACTATATCAACAGATGAACCTTCTTGGACACATAACCTTCACAGATTTAGTGTTCCTTGAGAGCTCAATTTAGAGGACTGGAACTACTGGTGTAGTTTAGCAGCAAAACCTGCTACTTAGAGAACTCTGAAGTAGCATCTATGGAGCTTTATTTTCACTGGCCACCTTGAGTAGTTTAAAAATTACATAATTAGCTGTTGATCAGCTAGCTGTGAAATATAAAAAGAATCCTGTTTGAATTTCAGAATACTACTGCACCTTTGAGTATTCCTGTCTTACTAGTCTCTACTTATTTCAGTTACTAAGAGAGCTTCACACATTAACACAACTATCGAAGGGTAGATGACATCAGCACTTCAGAGGAAAAATAAAACCCTTTTTCCTTAACTAGACTGATATCAAAACCAAGCATGCAAAAATGTGGACAGCAGACAACAGCTGGAAAAGGCTTTTTAACGTTTTTTTTTTCATATTAGCAGTTATACCTATCAAGTGCTGTTCTTGCCCTCTTTTGCCAGTATGACATCAGTAACTACAGCCAACTAGTTGGAGAACTATGTGTTTTCCCAAGGACCTTACTGCTAGACACAGCATCTGCCCACTAGAAACGAAATGCCTCTAGGGTGGCATGCGTGAACAAGTACAGAAATTTCTCTATTTTGTATGGATATTTAAAAAAACAACTTACAAAGCATAATAGATCCCTGTTAGCATTTGCACCATGAATTCAGATGAAACTGGAATCCTACTGTTGACTCCCTTGTACTTTCTCACTTGTTGGCGAGGATATCCACAGACACAAATTCTAGAGAAATCATGCATTTGTCATTAGCAATTAACATAGCAACACCTTTGTGGTTTACAGTTCCAACACTTCACCAGTACTGACTAGTTTTAAAGCCCTACTCTTAACTGAGTTAATTCCTCTATGAAGGCCACGACACCAGCTTTGCTTTACAGCGGAGTAAGAAAATATTCTTATGAAAAGAGACTTAGTAACTGCCCTGATGCAAAAAATCTGAGATCAACACAGAATTTTGTGCTGGAATTTTCACATTTGCAATCCATGTTTGTAAATAAGAAGAAATAGATACTTTTGCTTTTTTAGAAAAGCCATAAAAATTTAATGAGACTTAGATTCAACATTGCTTAAACCAATTAAAGGAGTTATTCTTCAGAGACTTCTGAGACTTCTGCGAGTACCACATCCAAACATGACAATGAAAGATATTCTAGGCTTCTGACATATTCCCTTGAATCCCCAAAATGCTGTCAGGGTGAGATTTTCAGTAAGCAAGAAACATGGATGACAAAACCAGTCAGGAAGAACTACAAAAGAAGTCAAATTACATAGTATTAAATAATTCACAATCCAAACATTCATTTTAAAGCAGAAAGACTTGATTGCATCTTCTGATAACTTGCTTGGGTTTTTTTCAGAGGCTTAAAAACATTATTTTAACCAAATACAAATGAAAACCTAATCAAGCAGAATAAGTAATACTGGTCTCCTTTCCACAATCTTTAGCTTCTAAATATTTTGTACCTTAAATTTTAGAGCAGCATATAGAATCATAGAATCACAGAATCAATGGTGTTGAAAAAGACTTCAGAGATCATTGAGTCCAACCCTACCGTGGTAACTAGACCATGGCACTAAGTGCCACATCCAGTCTCATCTTGAAAACCTCCAGGGATGGTGAATTCACCACCTCCCCGGGCAGCCCATTCCAATGTCTGATTACTCTCTCCGTAAAAAATATTCTAATATCCAACCTAATCATCCCCTGGCAGAGCTTGAGTCTGTGCCCTCTTGTCCTACTGCTAGTTGCCTGCGAGAAGAGACATATCTAACACAGACCTTGTAAAGACTCTTTTAAATATTACCAAGTGCTCCAAAGTCTCTTGCCTCTTCTGAAGAGACAAAAATCTTTCAGGCATGAATTACCATGTTTTGGTTGTGTGAGGAACCTGGGAACTATGACTGGGAAAAAGTTGCTATCGTTGACTTCTAGGTCTCTTGGGTTTCCTGGGTTAAGGAGAGCATTCTAATTTTTCCCTTAACCTAAAGTCCATTCCCAAAAATCCAGAGGTAGATGTGTTTACTACCAGTTCTTCCCCTCTGAGAAAAGAAATTGATTGAAAACAGACACTAATTAAAGCTGAGGTGGGTGCGTTTTGTTGTTTTGTTTTGGGGTTGGGTTTTTTTGTCATTGCTATTTTGTTTTTTTGAAGTAACAGCTGATTTTGCAAATACCCTATGTATCTGTAAAAATGAATGCATTTCTAGTTTCAATACTACTTATCTACTATAATTCCAAGAAAGTTTTAACTTGCACATCATCCAAATATACTTAGTAAGCTTGCAATGCAAAATTTACTACACTTTTAGAAGATATTTCTGGTTTTCTTTAGTTAACACAACTACAGTTACTGTTATTAAAAACCTGTTCCCTTTATTTGACTTCTCCACTTAAGGGAGAGGCTTAACCAGCATAAAAATCAGGTTACTGTTTCCCCATTTTGAGATCTTCACCCAAAGTTACATAAGAGATACTTTAAAAGCAAATAATGCAGCTGTAAATACTTATGAAAAGAAATCAAGTTTAAAAGCAGTCTTTGGAAACCTGAAGTTTGTTTTTATGAAAAAAAGAAAAGTCCAAACTGATTGCATTTCAAGCTGAAAATGCCACTGTAAGTATAAACAACCTCTCAGAAATTACCTTGAACAAATTTGACACAAGGACTGAAGAGACATTGCAGGCATGTAGCTTAAGGCAGCATTGTAACAGAGCAGAAGGAAAGTCAGCACTTCAAACCTGGGGTTTATAAGAAACATTAGAATTACATTCCCGATTTTATTTTTTAAAAGGAAACAAGTTTACATGGAAATTTGCAAGAGTTACTTAAACAGATTTAGTATTTCATTTCAGTAAAACTGACAATTGAACAAGCATTTTCCTCTTCATGTAGTAATATGCTCTGCTAGCCTTTCTGCATCTACATTTACCTGCCTAAAAACAAAGATCACAAAACAGCATGCACCTAGACCTTCACCCTACAACTATACTCAAAATCAAAAGTTAAGATCCATGTAGACTCTCAAGCAAAACCCAATTATACAATTTCACCTGTTCTGTGCTGTTAACATCTCCCTCTGAGGATGAGGTCCACTGTACACAACCCTGGACAAACCATGCTGCGATAAAGCTCCTTCAGTGAGAGCCATGGAGCCAATGCTGGAAGGCTAAAGGAAAAAATGGTCATTCAAAACATATCCACCTCAAGTCTTGCTATAAAGCAAGTGAATATAGACAATGATCATCATCACAGTATTTGTACACAATTTCAACAGGTTTAAGGTTATCTGACTGCTTGGCTGTCTTAGATCAGAGAAGTCATTTTATACTAGATAAGGTATGTGGCTTCAGAACAAAGACAAAGTTGGTGTATGGATTTAATGGAGTTATGGCTATTCAGTCTCGAAGATGCCTCAGATACCACTTACTAGTACTCAGAAGTATGTTCTCGTGTCATCATGCAACATGTTAAAACTACTTTTCACTTTTGTTATTAACAAACAGGCCCCAAAACATACTGCTTTTCTCAATCAGTAACAACTTTGTGTCATAGATGTTACTTACTTCATGATAGACTGAAGGCTTGGACAAGGACGGAATTGTGAAACTCAGCACTTTGCTATGTCCCTCTTTGTCAACTATCTCCTGAAAAAGACAGAAGGAACCAATGGTTACACTGTACTACAGAAATCAGATATCCTAAAATGTTAAATGCTATTATAGGTACACATAGGGATTTTATAACAATCTGAGCTACAAGCTAGAAATTCTCTCTACTTGATTTCTCTCACAGTGCATTTGGTTTGTTTTGGAAAACTGTTCAAATGACTTAGCAAAGGGCACATGCATTTGCATACAAAATCCACCTTAAAAACACTAACTGGAAGTCTCAGTATGTTTAAACAGGGTTATCTTTTTTTAAAATTATGCACTATTTGCTAATTGTGAAGGCTAATGTTCAGTAACTCCATTCTGAAAACTGTTTAACCATCAAATAATGACTCTACAAGTAATGTGTTTTGGAAATAATACAGCTCTGGAGTGACTGCAGCCTCATATGGTTAGCAGCAGACACCACAGTATTTGTAAAAGCCCAAGTCTGGGAACTGTCTCCCTATGCATGGAATTAAAAGAAGCATGGATGCAAAGCTTTACAGGAGCTACTTTCCTGCAAGACAACACCACAGCAGTATGCTGGCAGACTTCTCACTCCTCTAAGTTAACAGAAGACTAATGGGTAAGGCAAAACAATATGTGGGTGTGTGGCACAGGAGAGCACTGAAGTATTTCAAATAAAAAACTTCAGAAGATCCAAAGGAGAATTGTCCAATAACCAATACCACACACAAGATTTTATTTTTCTCTTCTCTAAATTTCAGCAGCAGATTTCATAATATCCAGAAGGACTGATTAGAGAGAAACTTCAGTGTCTCCTAACAAAGATGCCCTGAAAGGCTGAAAGACTAACTTCACACAATAATTATTAAAACTCATGTCTTAAAGTACAGTATGAAGCAGTAAAGGAAGACTGAAAAGTATCAAAAAGGCATATAGAGCTGTTCCTTCTGGAAAGTTACACAGCTCCTCCACTCTCCACATAAACCACTGATACCTATTGCCAGGAAAGCAAAAAAATTCAACTGCATGCACTCACCACTGTATGTCTCTAACCTGAAGGTAGAACAAACCAGTTCATGATCTCAAGGTTCAGCCACAATAATTCCATACTCCTCACAATGCAGTGAATTTAAAATGATTCCAAGCAATAGTTACTTTTTCATTTTCCTTCAGTAAGAAACTGCAGGACTCCTACTGAACATGATCATTCCCTCAAGTTTTCAAGAGGCCATCATACATATTTATATAAGAATTGCTATTAGTATTAGGCTACATATTTTCTCATGTTTTTGAAAACAAAGGAGACAGTTAAAGAGGAAAAAAAGTATCTACGCAGGTCACCTACTACTTTTTCAACCTTATATACTAAAGAACAATATCATCTTGATTATGTTTCAAATTTTATGACATCAACAGAGGGGAATGAGCCAGTATGAGTAATGTGGCATTATTTTATCATAAGCATTCATTATGACTTAAAGCAGAAGGGGAAAAGAAAAAAGTTTCCAAAAAGTCACCCTGATCTACAGCTTCCTACAGAAGCTTGCTGTGAAATTCTTACGATCCCAAGCAGCTGGAGATGTACAGCTAAGTTACTAATTGAGAAAGAAACTGCTCATGGCTAAAAAGATGCTACTGGACTGGTTTCAAGCTTGACTGTAAATGCAATCTCTTCTAGGAGAAAAGCAAGTGATTATAGCCACACCTGTCAACAATTTTAGGTGACTTCATCAAGGAAACAAAAGAGTGAATTGACTTAAAAGTGTAAAATACACCAAAAGCTTTTCAGGACCATTATTCTTGTCAGATACAACTAAGCACACAGAAAACACACAAAGCCTATACTCTGCCTATAGAGGAGTGGAATATAATGGCTCAAGTCTTTTTAATTAGACTCCTGGGTGAAAAAAAGGAGTAACTTCACTTGCTTAGTAAAGACACTTTGATTATTTCCAGAAGAAAGATAGCAGCTGCCTTCTCCAGATCTTCAGAATGGGAAGAGGAGACGAGGTTCATCATTGTTTAATTTCCCAAAAAGCCTTCCTAAAACACCCAGAACATACAAACTACACTGACAAGACTCCAAATGGACATAATAACACTGAACTTTTTATAACAGCAATAAAAAGACTAAAACATGGTGTTCTTAAAGGTTTATTAATTCTGTTCTTCGAAGCATTAATTTAGCAACAAATTGAATAATTTCATATAAAATATGAAAAAAGTCAGTGTTATTTAAAAATGGAGACCTTTAATTTCTCAAAGCTAAGCAATCTGTTCAGCAGACAAGTATTAAGAATTTGTTGAAACCAATTTTTTTTTGTTTTAGTCAAGACGGTCAAAATACTCCACAAAATAAGGACAACCACTTCTCAAGTAGTGCCTCGAAAAGCTCTCAAGCAGAATCTAAGTTTAATCACAGTGTCAAGAATCAAGAAAACATTAAGAACCACAAAAAGAGCAAAGGAAAATGTCAACCAAAGAATAAAAGTTCATGTTGCAGATTTCTGACACGGACACCAATTTCAAGAGTCAAAACTGAAATACTCAATCACTTCATTTCAATTATGAATCAAAATTGTTAATTATTCCCCAGAAAAATACTCTACAGTATCCCACAGAAGCACACCAGTATTTTTAGGCCTGAATAATCACATGCAAATACAAACCAAGTTATAGACTCCTAGGAGAAGAGCCTCTATGCATCCACTGCTCTGCAAATCTCTGCTGGCTGAGACAGCAAGATAGCACCACATCAATTCTGGTAGAAACTGCAGCGTGAACCGTAGCAATTGTTCTTCCCCACTGCGATAGAACTCAAAGAGCTGATGGCAAACTGGCTCCAGAAGCTGAAATGTAAGTTACAGTTGTGAACGAATAAAACATTACAAGAATCTGCAACTTTGTCTGGATCAATCCTTGAGACAAAACTGTAAACTGATGAAAATTACATTTTAGTTATTAGGGAGTGACTGACGTAACAACTGCCTGAGTTAGCTTACAGACTTTTCAGCCCTATAACATTTTTGGATTATAAAAGTAGAGCCTTCCAACCCACGTGAAAAAGAATTCCAATAGCTGCTCTCTCTCATTTTTGGCTCATTTGCTCCAGCCTCAAAGGCATAAATAGAGCATATTTGTTATCACCGTATCTCATGCCATGTCCTTAATATCTCTGATATACAGAAAAAGTACTGGAACAAAATGTCTTTCCATTCTGCAACTCCAACAGCACACACACATGCATAAATTGCTAGAGGCTTTTACCCACCAAGTGAGAAGAGCCGCATAACAAAGTATTAAAATAACTTAGTATACAGTAGACTTAGTTCATTTTCCCACTCTCATTAAAGTCTTTTAGAAACTTCAATGTATTTAGACATTTGAGACAGAAATGGGAAGCCTCAAGAGTAATTTTAGAATAAAATTTGTTAAGCTGATATAAATAGATGTAACACACTGAACTGGAAGTAATACGCTGAGCTAGATCAAGTTAAAATAATACTTAAAAACAATTAGGCAATCAGCTTGCACTGTGTTTCTGGATTTAATGTGCTTTCTTCTGCCACCACCTACCTCTACTAGAGGATGAAACATTGTGTGAACATGTCAACGTATGGAAATTAGGAAATTTCCTAAGCCAAGTAGAAATTACAGCAAAAAAAACAGTAGGCCCTTTCAAAGCCAGATGAACTACAAAATTCAGTTCTTCTGCGATTTCTCTAGGTGACATCTTCAGTTTTAGTTAAACCAGCTTTTAGAAAAAAAAGCACAATTCTATATTCCTCCCTTTATTGCAGCAAAGGAGGCAAAACTACCAGAAGATTATGCTAGAAAAAGTCTGATTGCTTTCCTAAGCTTTTCCTCCTGAACACAAAAAAAGTTGAATTAACATTTCTTACGTCCTGAATTTACTTCTGAAACCAAAGGATCTTAGCAGGTTTTGGTTCTTTTTTTAGTAGTAATTTGGGACAAACTGATCCATTCAAAAAAAAAAAAAGAAAAAAGAAAAAGTGGAACTTTCAGCTTCTGACAGATACAGCTTCACTTTGGAAAAGTCATCTGTGAAAAATCTTCAGCAAAAGCAAAAATATCATGCCAAGCTAAACTAGTCGTCAGTTTTAAGAGGAGTACAGCAAAGATCCTTCTAGGAAACTTTATCAGCAGAACTACTTTCTATCTTCAGCTTACATATTTCACACAATTTTTGGGCTTCCCATAATGAAGTATCAGCTCTGAATTACGTGCTTGAACTTTAAAAGCCACACAAATAGCTATGACAGGTATCCATGCTTACATCGTTATCTCAGTTGAAACAGCTTAGCATCAGCACATTTAAATGCATAATCAGTACAAAACCAGATTTTCTTCCTCAAAATGCCACCACATGCTACAACCTAATATCAAAACGTATTAAGGATTGTTGCCGTTTCAAGATATGATTTTACACTAAAACAGTTCTAAAAGGTATCCAGACTGAAGAAATTTTTAATGCTGGTCCTGAAAAACATCCAAGCAACTTCATCCCTCTTCCTTATAAGCTGCATCCAAATGTGTTAGACACTCCAAACACTTTCTAGTTCCTAAAGCAAATGCCTGCATGGCTCTTGCCTAAAAGGACAGCAACAGTGTTTTAAGTAGAAAGCAAAAAATCTTCAATCTGTGAAAAAACAAACCTCAGAAATTTATTTTTTTTACTGCTGCAATCTTGACTCAATGAAAAGTCCTTTATACCTCCATATCTTCTAAAGATTCTGCTTGTATTGAATCACATTTTTCACCTATCAGTGGTCCGAGACCCTCCAATGTTACTAACGAAGTCTTCACCAATAAAGCTACTATGAATTGGCTAATTGCTAGAGGAAACAAGTTCATTTATCTCATAAACTGATCATTATTTTTTTTGGAAAAGCAAACCAAAACAACCCATATGAAAAGCAAACTTGAACCAGCATAAAAATGCAGTTACAGATGCAAATACACATAATAAATTTCAAATGCTTAAAAGAAGAATAAATCCATTCCCCAAAACAGGATTAATTGCCATTTTACAGTACCAATAATTATTACATCAGAAGTGCATCTATTCAAAGGTGTACAGATGGGGTTGCTTGTCCATTCTTGATCTCAGCAGTATATGTATAGTGTTCACACATTAATCCCTCCCCTTTATATTACATAACTGATATAAGAAAGGACAACATATCCTACAGTCTAAAGCAAGCTGCCATTATACAATGCAGCTAACAGATCTCATGTAACAGTTGAAAGATTTACTTGTTTTTGGAACTGCTGCTTGTAAGTATTCTCACAACATGGAAAGCTCCAAGTGGACCTTTCCACAAAGCGACACCTACTTGGCGGACAGTCCAAATAAAGGCTTTAGGACTTCTTCCCAAGGCAGCAAAATGCTCAGTGTCAGCACCAGCTTTTTCAACTCCAAGTCTCACCAACAGGGAAATCTTCAATAACTTGCCCCAGAATCATCCCAACAACCTTTTCAAGCAGGATTTGCAGTAGTACCCTGCTACTAAGGTCCCTAAGAAACCTAGTGGCAGCCAAAAGTAGGAAGAAATCAAAGAACATATCAAAGTATTAATTTGGCTATCAGCAAGGAGGCTCATCAGATAGATTTACATGTCGATACACATTATGAAGACCAGACAGGCTTGACTCAGTAGTCGGAATGACTCAGTATGCCTCTCTAAGAAGCAAAGAAAAATAAATTTCTTCTTTCACTACCAGCATTCTCTCTATAAATGCATATGCTGAAACATTTTATCCTGACCATGACTGACAATCTCAAACGTTGAGAAGGTGCCTTATTGCTGGGTCTTTTTAGAAGAGGAAATAAGGACTTGATGCAATTTTAAAATAACACACACGAGGTTCGCTGGATGGTAGAAAGAGAGTCAATACAGTTAACAATACACAGCTAAACCCAGCACAGTATCTTCTGAGCTCACCTGGACACTTTAAAACAAGGGCAGTCATGGGATATGGAACCTATTCTGCTACAGGTATTGAGCAAACCTGCTCCCCTTTCTCCCAGGTTTTTTTGTATTTTGCCATCATTTCAGCGAGGGTACATCTCCTGTATAAATCCATATGTTCATATTGTATGCATCTCAAACAACAAAGAACCTAAAACCTAAGCAACAACTTAAAAGCATCACAAACTTATCTTTGTTCTCTTGGGTTGTAACAGACAAGCTTCTGACACCTATAGATCCAACTGAAGTGATAATTACAGAAAGAATTCTGTCAGACTCAAACATCTTTTAATTTCCTTAATATATTTCTCAATTCTATATCCAAGTCCTGAAGTCCATGAGTGAGATCCACAAGCTCAGCTATGACCAGTAGGTCACAAAACTTATGATTTTTTTTTTTTTTCCATTATAGCATGTCATTGCTAAGAACAAACATTTACTCCTTGTGTAGCTCTGTAGTTCATCGTGTAAGAACACAATTAATTAGCACGCATGGTCATATTTTTATTCTGCTAGTTTTGTCAGATGTTTTGGGTGAAAGATCCAATATACTCACTTCACTCTGTGGCTCCTGAATCACTTTATAAAGAGATGAAATCAAAGCAGTCTTGTCTTTCAAGCTTGTAGCATAGCTGGATATGGATGCTTCTGGCAGTGTCTGAAATAAAAGCAACGTAAGCAGTTTTTATCACTAAACAACAACTATTTCAACAATAATTTTCCATGACAAGTTGCTATTTATCAGAGCTTACTATGAACAAAACTTGGTTCACAAAGAAATCCTTACTATGGAAATCACCACATTGTCACTGGCAATGCCAGGGGACACACTGCATTCTATCATTTTGCAGTTTCATACAAAGGTAATCATAGTGGATGGGAAATAGATAGAAACCCAAAGAGCTTCACAGATGCAACCCTCACTGAAATTTCATTGTGAAATGTTGGTACAGTGAAGCTTAACAGTTTTCAGATCCATACTTGAAGGAGTTCTGAAGACCAAGTGTACATACACAGTGAGCATTATTACCAGATACAGTATTACTCTGCAAGAACACAAATTCCAGTTGATGCAAACAGCTGTTCTCTAACACTAAAGATATTCTCTGCCACTATTTAGTAAGGTAAGAGTCTAATATTTTTAGCAACCCTTTGAAAGCTGTATATTTAAACTCACTATTCATAGCTTTTACAGTACTTCTCATCTCCTTAAAATTTTTCTGCACTGTACAGTCAGGAAAACCTAATCCCACTGTATCTAAGCAGACCAGGAGCAAAACCTATAGTCTAGTACTCAAACCACCAAAGCCATTCACCTATGATATAGATTTTCACTGCTCTGTGTCAGGCAGCATGTCATCCCAGAGGCAAGGAAAAAAATCTTTTCAAGCAGACTTTTGTATTTAGCACACGATCTCAGCAAAACCCAAGGTTACTATTTT